GCAATGTATCTGCCAGGCTGCCAGCAAATGATACAATTGAATTATAATCGGGCTCCTTAGGCTGAAGTAGGCGAACTATATAGAACAACCAGAAAGCAAACAAAACGACAAAAACGATCGAAATAAAAAGACTCCTCCATACACGTACACGTGGTAAGATAGCATTATTTGTTCCAAACAGCGCTTTTCTAGGAGCAGCAAATATCCATGTTCCTAGGGCTAACAGAGCAAGTTTTACGGCAATGCCAATTAATTGTCCCTCACACGTTGGATGACAAGGCTGAGTAAGCCAGCCGAGCGGATGAGGAAGCCGAGGAAGAAAAACCATCACAATGGGTGAAATAAGCGCACAAGACCCGAGCAAAATAGAAAAAAAGGAAGTAAAGAGGCGTGCGCAAGAAAACGTCCTAATTTCATCTGTCTCGTTTTTGATAAGAGCAGTTGCAGCCCCACTTATGGCAGTATTATCGTTATTCATTCCAAGTGACGCTGCTAGGCCATAACGAGCACCAAATCGCGATATGTTATCGCCACTGAAACCCGTCTCACTTGTCGCACCAGTCACTGCTGTGGCAGTATCAGCCCATCCATGATCATCCCTGCTTATATCATTTCTGTATGATTCTATCCTTTGTTGTTTGCTGGGTCGAGGCTGACTCATAGGCGTGTGAGGAGCAGAGAGAGTTGAAATAACCTGATGCTGAGATGGGGTCATAGATAGATTTCCCCCGGGTGTTGCGATTTGGTGGGTGATACCTTGCATAGGGTAGGATCCAGCTGGTGGAGGGCATTGCATTGAAGGACTTGGCCAATTCGCCGGGCTAGATGGATTTGAATACGGAAGAGGAGCAGGGTACTGAGGATAGGTCAAAGAAGGATGCTGCATTTGGGTCCCCCAATTAGCCGAAGCAAATTGTTGGGGACTTTGTTGAGGGATTTGATGGTGATACATAAGTTGTGATGGAGCAGGTATAACTCTTTTGAGGTTATTTGAACAATCAGGGGTCATTTGGGCGAGTCCTTGGTTGTAAGATAGTCCGGAAGCGATATTAATTGGAGAATTAAAATTAGCCATAGCTTGGTCTTCAGCTATCGTGGGATGCATATTTCCTTGGATGGGATGGTCAGGAAAACGAGAGCGACGGGACCGCCTTGACCTGTCACTTTTTTCACTTCTACCGCTTCTCACACTCTCTCCATCCATAAGAAATAGTCCAAGTAGATAGTATATGCTCCAGTAAGTCTAATTTAGATACCATGGATTATATCACTTTATGCAAAGATGAATAAAACTTGTAAGAGTCCAGAGATAAGTACACAAAATAAGACAAGGGGGCATACTTGAAGAGACCGGGCAAAAAGTCGAGGCGCAAAGCCTAGATAGTCACTCAGTATATTTAGCAATTTATAATTTATTATTCTAAAATAGGAGGATTAAACTCTGAATTTTTGAGTGTAATTTGGATAAATTAAATACGCGGGCATAAAGGACGGATGATAAATACGCATTCGCGATTCCTTATTAGTTGAATAAATTAGCTATCAAGTGAAAGCTAGTAGACATACTCCATTCCTATATAAAATGTAATCATAAGACATTTTTTAAATATGAACGAAAGTTCTATAAAGAATAATTTAACTATATTTTTCTTTCTACCTAGGGTGTAAAGGGTGCCATTGTAGTGCAGCGCTTTGAGCCCCGCCACCAAATGTAAACTAATAGTCCCTCAAAGTCATGACTAAATCTGGAGCAACATATTAGCTTATGTATTTCAATAATCGCCCTTTAGCCAGAAGTTACCTTCCTTTTGCCTGCAATTAGAAGGTATTTCTTTTAGAGCAACAGACCTTTACATCTTAGATTGTACCCCTCTGATTTAGTAGACGCCCTTTACTTGTGAATAAAAATTGGTTACTTTAATTTTGCTTTCCTTTTTGTTATAAGCATTTACTTTTATGATATTCGATGTATGTAACTTACCATGAAGCATTTCGCATTTCTTTAAATAAGTCACGTTTAAGCAACGTGAGCCAAAAACGATACAAACGTTGAAAGTTCAATTTTTTCCCTACACTTTCTTTTTACTAGTTGATAAAATTTTTAAAGAGTACATCTCATTTCATGCATCCAGCCATAAGTAAATCCCTTCTTTTCTCAAGTGACTCATCACTGAATAGTTTAATAAGATAG